GTATATAAAAATGGAATTTTACACTAGATTCTTTCCGCCGTTTAATTTTAATATTTTAAAGTATCTAAAATTATTAGAATTAAAAAATTCGTAAAATTAAAAAAAAATGCAAAAAAGCTGTTGCAAATATCCTGCATGCTGGCATTTTTTTTCTAATTTCGTGATAAACTCTTGAAACTTCACAGTTATGTTGTATTTGAAGACTTTCCAAAGTTATTAAACATAAACAATAATGATTTTTTCGAGTGACAATGAAAAAATTAGTAATTTCGATACTTTTTCGCTTAAAAAATATTTTAAGGCTAAAATTATTCAAATACTAGATTTATTTTATTTTGTTGTATTTGTTACTGGAACTCCACTGACTGCAATAACTGCAAGAAGACTGCTTTAGCGTTTTTTTTTTCNTAAATACTAGATTTATTTTATTTTGTTGTATTTGTTACTGGAACTCCACTGACTGCAATAACTGCAAGAAGACTGCTTTAGCGTTTTTTTTTCTGGCGAGAGAAGGGAGTGACGCTAAAAACTCATCTCGCGCGATTTGTTCATAGAAGTACATAATTTTAAATTTCTATAAATCTTCTCTCTAAAATATATGCGGATTTTAAAATAGATGATCGCATCAAGTACGAAATAACGAGTTTTTTACTAGAAAAAAAGGTGTTCAGTAATTATAAGAAACCTATTTTCATGTTCTACTAGAACCTATTTATAACCCACGCCAAGGACCGTGTGTTCGGTAACCAATAACGTAGTCGTTGTATTTAACCTATGTTACACGGTCGAACCATTTAGATTTCCTGACGATTCTGTCCATGTCTGTTGTAGTCAGACAAGTGTTCCCCTGATACCTTATAGTCCAGTATACCTGACCACCTGCTTCTAGCTAGTCCAAGGAAATGCAGAGTAATTTCTTTTTAGATTATTCTAAGACGGCAACCCAGTACTGCCCTTTGTATTCATCCAAACGGGCTGCTGCCCTCGCTAATTCCTCAGCTTTCATCAATATTCCTAGCCTAGATTTGGTAACCGATGATGCTATTGCGTATAGCGCCGCGTGGATGTCAGAATGTATTGTTGCTTTACTTTTGTACCTGACTCTATTACCTTAGATTTAACAAGATTCGGGGATACCTTGAAGCCCTGCTATTAAGATAGTTGAATCCTTTCCCAATCGTAGAGACAAAGCAACACCGAGTTCCCCAGAGTAGACTGTCGCTCCAACCTCGCAATCCACTTCTGAAACCTTCGGTGTGTAGGAGAGAGTCGTGCCTAGACAGTCGGTTCTACGTAACTGGAACGACCCAGATTTATATATGGCCAAGAACTGGCACCCCAGTATCACTCTAGAAAAACTCTTTGGGAAATTTGTATATTGTTACAACAACAAAAGAAGATTAATGATAAAGCAATGTCCGAAGTGCCTAGTCCACCCAAACGCCTGACACTCTGAGTCTGACCGCCGCTGAGCCACTTCTTCCAGATGTAGATCAATAGGCATCAGATTGAGAATAGCATTTTGCTGTCGGGCTGGCTCTTATTGCTACTGCGCCTGTTGCCCTTTGTATGCTCCTTAGTTTACTAACATAAGTATATTGTTTGTAGGATCGTAAAAGATAATAGGCGGTCGGCGTGGTTGAGTAGTCGGAGTTGCGTTGTACCACTCCGCAGTACCTGGGTTCGATCCCTGGTTCGGGCCGCTTCTAAATAAAAAAAAGCAATTTATAACAGCGGGCGCCGCTTGCCAGGCAATGGCAAACCTATTGCCGCTCGATGGTAGATGAAATCAATTCAATATGTATTTTTTTTTTTATAAAAGTGATAAGCGTTAAGTTAGCTTAAAATTTAAACAGTTTAGTCAAAAGAGGTCAGTGCGTTTTATAGTACATATTTATGTTGATATGTATGCCCTTATCAAATTCTTTGTATCTATGTTCATACATGTATGTATCTATACTTTAACTGGGATCCACTTACTTCTTCGCTTTTAATATTGATAATACATTAGAGATTTTGCGAATATTTGCCTTCGCATTCGCTTATACGAATGATTCGCATCATTTTTAACATTCGCATCGACATTCGCATCAAATGGTGGGAAGGTTTTACGAATACGAATGTATACTGTTGAGTTGTCTGCGTTTAGCTTCAGGCACTAGAAGGTTGTGAGGTAGTAAATATAACAAGCAACATTGGTGAGTCTTCAAAAAGTTATGTAAAAGTCTTTAAATACATAAATGAGAATTTTTTTTTGTTTTTATTATTTATTTATTTATTTTTTATTTTTTTATTTGATTTATATATTCAATTTTACTTTATTTTATTTTCATTTACTTTAATTACTGTTGAAAACATCGTTAAAAATATATAGAACTTATAAAAATATGAATAAAAACGAAATAAATGCAAATTCTACTGGTCGTGGGACTCGAACCCACTACCCTTCGGCGCGTTAATCCACAATACTGCCATCTGTCAGGGCAAAATTTTTATGCGCATTTGTGTGCTAGTTTATCTGCATAAGCATGCCCGTCTGCCTTGCGCTTAAGAAACCTAGCAGAAATATTATATGCCTCGAGCGAAAGTGTATTCCCAGGTGTAGAATTTGGAGAAGTTAAAAATGTGAAATCAAACTAAAATACGTCAAATTGACAGATCTGGTCTGCAGATATTTGAGCGCTCCGAGTGAGAATTTTTCATGGACTAAAAGGCGGCAAAATAAATTTTTTTTTTTATCACTATGTCTCTTTATTGCACAAAGTTTGAAATGCTTTTCACTACATAACAAAATATAAAAGATTAATAAACAAAATAAATGTAGCCAAAACTGGTCAAAATTTCTGCAACCAGTGTATTGCATTCTCTTTCAAGCTTAAATATTAGTAGATATGTATGTTAGGGCAGGTACAGGGGCGCACCCAGGAATATATTTTGGGAGAGGTTTTTACCTCTAAAGACATATCACCAGAAAATACTGAAAATTCGCTTTATGCAAATTTTATGTACAGTTTCTATGTAATAATTAAAATTAACTTCTTAAAGTTTCATAGATTGCACTTTATTTGCATAAAATTAAATATTCATTTTTTATTATTTCGAATACGGAAAAAATTAACTGAACTTGTATTTTTATTATGTATGTATCCCAGCAAAAAACACGATTACCACAGAAACGAAAGTGGAAATGAGCTAGGCGATGGGAATCGCTTACCGCTTCGCTTCAAGAAGGCCTTATTTTAACATGGGCATGTCATTGGAGGTAAGCCCTTACCCGCAGCATTACCTTCAAACGAAGGGAGAACGCATGGATAAACAGAATCCGGAGAAGCGAACAAAGAATGCCTTACAGAGAAACTAATGTAGAATGCCTAGATAAGTACATACTTATTTATATTAAATTGAAATCAGAAAATGTCTTAAAAGGTTAAAATTAATTAAAATTTTTATAAATCAGCGTACATATGTATGTATTTAGGTATTTAGATTTTCTTTAAAATCGGTATGTACATACATGCATATTTAATTAAGCTTAAAATTGTACTTCCTCACTCTTGTACGTCACTTCATTGACTGACTTCAACTTCGCTGCAAATTGAACAAAGCAAAACATGATTTTTATGCGAGACAAATTTCCACAGAAAGTAACGGTAGAAAAAGAATTTTTGGATATTCATTCCATTTTTCAGCTGACTACGATGCAGCATTCTACTTTGCATTCCCTGAAATGAAGCAAAGAAGCGAAACAAATAAAATATTGTAGGACATTCTACTTTGCATTCCCGGAAATTAAGCAAAGAAACGAATTAAAAAATAAATATTATAGGACATTCTACTTTGCATTCCCCGAAATGAAACGAAGAAGCGAGATAAATAAAATATTTGCATTACTGGCAATGCCTAAAAGAAGCGAAAAAATTCGAAGGCATTATAACGCTATGCCTTCTAGAACACGTTACCACTAAAAGCGATTACCGATTTTTTGCTGGGATGTAGCTCATTTTGGTGGAACGAATTCGAAGTTGGCAAATTAAATCTTCGAATCCTTGTTGTAAGTTCATATCAGTGGTAAACTCTTTTAGGCTGTAAAGTGTAAAACACAACATTAATAGAGTATGCATTGCATATTTTTAGGACAATGTTTTCATTCTATCAAAATTTCTTAAATCTGTTTGCAGCTCTCAAGAAAAAAATGCTCGTTTATTTATTTCTTCTAGAAAATTTACAGCAAAAGGAAAGTGCTTGTTCAAGCAATACAATCATAAAAGATATTTCTTGTGATTTTTCTTGAGAGCTGGATTCTAAGCTTTAAGGTATTTGCGGTTTTAGCTTTAGGGGGGGTTTGAACCCCAAAACCCACCCCTTGTGTGCGCTAATGGGCGGGTAATTTTGTTTTTTACTATGCACGCATAGCATAAGAGCATTCTACGTGTAATTCTAAGCAAATTTGCTGGGTGGAAAATCAATTTGGAGTTTGCCAATTTGAGAAAATTGGTTTCGAAGAAAATGTGAAAATTTTCTGATGGAAGTCTTAAGAAAAAGATAAATGCAGAAATGGATTACTCATACCAAATCACCCCTTACATCATATTTTTATACTTAATTTAAGCACTTTTTTCCAACACTACAGCCAAAATTCTAAGAAACCTATTTTCGCAGCTGGTTTCTTCTTCAAATTTGCTTAGAATTACACGTAGAATCCTTCTGTGACATTCGCGCATAGGCAAAAAAAAAATCCAACACAAATTGATCCGCCCTAATGTACATATGCATGTACATACATATGTTTGTAAGTAGTATGTCAAAACAATACGAAAAACTCAACACCCTATTATTGTCTCATGTTGCTCTTTGTTTTTCATGCCATTATTGTACTGCGCTTTGCCACCCAACCAGCCCAGTGTGCAGCAATGGTTTTGTTGCTATTATCTCTTATCTATAGGCGTTAGCAATTGTTCTCGTTGTTACTCGCTTGGAAATGTTTTTCTTTAAAAATGCCCTAACCAGCCACACTGGAAACCAGTGCTAGTCTCACTATTGCTCAGCGTGTATCGAGTAAGCTCGCGACAATCTGTTTGCTCAGTGAACGATCTACAACGATCAGTGGTCACAACAGTGTCTACGAATGAAACGACGCTTTGCACAGACAATATCATCAACAGCTTTTTCTGCGTGCTATCTCTCTGCAAAAATCTAACCACAGCAGATTTGTTTTGGTTTTTTTTTTTATAAATAATAACTACATATATATAATAAGTTATACGTTTTACTAAACTCTTTTTTATCAAAATGGATATGGGACATACGCATGGTAATGATACATCGGCAGACGTAGCTTCTTGCCCTATGATAATGGTGGTAAGTTAATTAAATAAAAATGTACATAAGTATTTGTGTATTGTACACATTAAAGCGGGCATATTACTATGTATGTACATTAGACGGTATCACTCGCTATACAAAAAAAAAATAAAATCGGTACTGTTTTTCCATTGGAATTATAAAATCTATTGCATTTTAAGACGTCCACCAAAATATATTGGAAAAATATTAAGATTTAAGCAAGCTGGACCGATTTGAAAATAACTTCTAAAATGTAGTTTTTTATGAATAAAAATAGTTTCTTAAAGATGTTTTTTTTTAGAAAATTCCTTCAAATGACCAAACCGATTAAGCTTAAAAAATTTACATAAAAATATTAAAAAAAAAATAAAAAAAAATTGGAACGGAATCGTAATAATAAGATTTTGGATGCTGTTTTTAAGAAATTATTTTTATTCATAAAAAACTCCATTTTTAGAAGTATTTTCAAATCGGTCCGGCTCACGTAAATCTTAATATTTTTCCGAAATATTTTGGTGGACGTCTTAAAAAATAATAAATTTTGTAATCACTGCGGAAAACCGCCACTTTTTTTGGTGATGCAGTCTAATGTGCATACATATGTGTGCACATATATGACGTAGTAGCTAACTTTATGTTAGAATAGGCAAAGCTGAGCTTTTAGTTAGCTGAGAGTACGTGTGTTTATTAAACACTGGAATTATCTCTTGCTTTTTGGCTTGGCATATCAAAATCACTGCTTGCCTGCGGGCTATCGGTCATTCGTTGGACTTTCATATATGTATGTACGTATTTCTGGAAAGAAATAAGTTTGGAAATACATACATACATACATACTTTTTAAGCTTTCAACAGGTTTAATAAAATCTTTGTCATAATTGACGAACTATGCAATTTTCGAAATGCAATTGTTTGGCATGAATGCTACATATCGTCACCTGAAGTGTAAAAAGCCGTAACTAGCAATCAATTTAAAATTCACTTTTTGACTGATTATGACTTATTTCATCAAATTACAACTCCGCACGTCGTTTTATGCAAACAAAAAAAATTATTCGTTACGACTTGTTTCCACTTCACTGACGATGCTTGTTACAACATTTTGCATTTTGTGTGACGATATACCCACAAAATGAAATCGAGGCTCATGTTTTCGAGTTAACAATATTCTTATATCAGTGTTGTGCAGAACAAAGGCAACGATTGGCCACACAATTTTGATTGTCACTTAAAAAATAGAAGTGCAAACTTATTTACAAATTTGCATTCACAAGCATTGTGTATAATTTGTAATTTTTGTTTTTCGGTCTGTACTCCGATCGGAATAGATTTACGCCGGTTTTGGAAATTTGTTTAAATCCACTCGTCTATTCCGCGTGTCTTAAAACCTTCGTGCCAATTCACGAAAGAAATTTTAGTGAAAAATTAATTTAATTTTCAGAATTTTATATAGAAATTAACAGAAAATAAAAAATAATTAAAAAATTAAAAAATAAATTGCTGGTAAAATCGACTATAAAAATTAGAAATAATAAATAATATTTAGCTTTTACTTTTTCGATTAAAAATAATGATTATTTTATGATTTTTATTTTTACGCTCAAAGATAATAATTCATATTCAATTTTATTTTTTCGCTTAAAATAATGATTATTCAACAAACTCAAAAGCTACACTAGCGTGATTTCCGACATATTCTTTTCTCAAATAATAAAATGAATAAGTTCCAAAATTTTTAGGTCATAATTTGAAACAATAAAAAAAAAAACTCAATTAGAATTATATGGGCAATTCTCACAAACTTGGAATTTTTTTGTGAATTTTTTATTTTTTTAACCGTGAGCGTATACGATCCTTTATCTGCTAGAATACAACATCCAACGTGGTGCAACGTTTTAAAGCAATGCACCATACGTTTTTAACGTTTCTAAGCGTTTTTCTTTTTTGGAAATTGATAGTGGGCGTAATTTTAGTCCGATTTCGAAAATGTTCAACATATAGCTTTCTTATGCCAAGGTCAATGATTGTACTGAGTTTGTTACAAATTGATAAATCGGTTAACGAGATACACATACAGTGAAACAAATAAAAAATGGGACGCAGCATTTTAGTAAGTTTTGGCTATTTTTCTTTAGTTTATTTAATGTTTATTAATTTTTTATGAAAGTATCGGTGAGTACTTAACAAACACGATTTCAGACTTTATGCAAAAAATATGAAAAATCTGCAAAGTTTGACCAAAATTTCCAACTTCTTGACCAGCACCTTTAGACAAAATTGTGGTATTGAGTTTTGTAGCAAGTGGGTCCCGAATTAACCAAGATTAATATTTTTCAATGATATTCAGGCAGCGCCGAGATTTGTAGTCGAAAAGAAAATTTTGTTGCAAAATTCCAAATAGTTTTTTTTTTTTTTTTAATCAACAATTGAAAATTTTGTTATGTTGTATTGTGTTATAGATTTTTTTTCTTTGAAAGTAAGTGTCCAAATGAAAAAATTTTATGGTTGCAGATTTAAAAAACATTAAACTATACAATGAAATTATTTGCGTTACAAATATAATATTTTTTTTTGCTTTTCAAGAATTTTTTTATGAAAACTTTAACTTTAATAAATTTTTGCACAACAACTTATGTAATAAACATTTCTGCATTTATCTATGAAAAAAAGGTGCATTTCGATATAGTTTGGTCGAGAATGTATTTTTATTTGCCAGGGTGGGCGCCCGACTTCCGCGGGCCTGCGAAAAAAGTGTTCAGTGATCCTTATGTAACGAAAGCTCTTGTTTTGCAACTTTAGTTAGGAAATTATTAGAATACGGATCTATTGTTTGGAATCCCTGCTACCAAATTTATTCAGAAAGGATTGAATCAATTCAAAAATAATTCTTACTTAATTTTAACTGGGATTCAGAATAGAATCTCCCACTTTACTCTTGTCGTAAAATTAATGACTGAGATGGTTAATAGCTCGTTCCATTTGGCTGAAGATTGAGTAGTTTTAGATTCCTAAACTTAACTAACACCTGCTTGCACGACAAGACACAAAACAAAAATCATACGTTATGTTGACTACGTCTCACCTGTTGGTTGGGCAGAAGGAGGGTAAAATCGTTGGGATTAAATCTGGATAAACTATTTTCATCGAAAAATGCTGTGGTTCTTCTCTCAGTGTGAAAACGAGTTTTTTACCTGCTGAATTATAGATTTTACCGGCAGTATTTCACTTTCAAAGCAGGATGACAGCTTCTCTGAAGGACATCGATATACGCGTCCGGATTAATAATTCCCGAAATAACATCTAAACATGTTTTGCCACACCAAGATTAATCACCACAATGTAGCCTTTCCTCCTGCACACTGTTGATTCGGCCAAATATACAATCCCATTGGGATTTTTTTCAAAGCGTGTCACATGCTTTAATTTGGAAGTTTCAAAAAGGATCTTTCATCGGAAAATATATATATATAAATTTTTTATCTTTTGCAGTACAATTTGTGCGCTGTTTACACCACTCTAGCCTTGCCCCGAAAATATTAAACATATTTCTTCTTCTTGTTTGGCACTGTGCCCGCCTAACTGCCATCCCTAAATTGGCGCGTTAAGCGCCAAGCAACTGTCAAAAATCCGCATGCCCATACAGTTTGTATGAATAACGTGGCGCCGAGCAAACGGAAACGCCGAGCAAACGGAATTTTCATTTATGACAGGGCATTACGTGTTGAAGTTGGATGCAAACGACGGAAAGAAAGGGAAAGGACAAAAAAGTGAAAGTGGGAAAACGCGCCCAGACACTCGATGTCAATGGAAAACGCAACGCTTAGCACTCCAATTTAGGGACGGCAATAAGCACTTTTCGCCGAGTTTAATAAATCGTTGCGCTTCTCTTTTGTGTCACCTAACGCCAATTAGAAATTGACTAGTACTTGGACTTCACCCATGGCACAATAAACAGGTGAAGTAATAAAACCACTTTCACGCGTTATTTTTTGACATTTGGTAATTTTATACAAAACTTGTAAAGAGAAAATTTGGAATAAGAAAGTGTCACCTGGCATAAAATCAGCATTTTTTAAAAACATAATCATGTTCCAAATCAATTTAGGTTTAATTATGTACTTCTAATGGCGAAACTTTTCACAATTCGAATTTGAAACTGCACGAGCTCAAGAGTCCTTGACTTTCATTTCTGACATGACCACGGCAAAAATTTCGAAATTTAAGTTTTGCAGGCAAAAATTTTCTTTTTGACCTATTGTGCCTTGCTGTGAGTTTGCTTGTTTGAGTTTTATTCAGATGCACTGATAGTTCCAGTCCAATTATTCACAGCCTTTAGGTGAATGCCGTATATACAGTGACGGTAAAAAGTGAATGGATGGTGTTTTGTTTTTAATATTTCAATGTTTTACAGGTTTAAATTTTTTGTTTTTTTTATATAAAAATATGGTCCATACTTTAACAAAAACCATTCAATTCAAACTTTCAAACTGTTAACAGAATTTGGAATAATCCCACAACTTTTTATATAAATTTTGAGCTTTTTAATCACAATTTTTACAAAAGTTTTGGGTATGCAGTTACAAGACTAATAAAATTTCGGCAAAACAAGCGCAAGTTTCGAGAAGTTAAGAAATCGCATCGATTTTTAATATTTTATTTTGTTTTTACGGCGTTTTGCACTTTTTTCTATACAAACATGAATTTCTTGTGGAAGAATATGCGCTAGACCGTTTGCAAAATAAATTTAAAAAAATCAAACCCAGTTTCCCTAAATTGCCCTATATATGTATGTATGTAAAAAAAATATCAAAAAGCCCTCAATACAAAAAAAAAACATTTTTAAACACAATGCGATTTTTTAGCTGTTTAAGCTTGCACTTATTTTACTAAAATTTCATAGGGCTTATAACTGCATACCCAAAAATGTTATAAAATTTATTTTTAAATATGTCAAAATTTTTATGAAAATTTGTTGAATTTTTCTAAATTCTGTATAAATGAAAAAAAAAATATTTTTTGTTAAAGCATCAACCCAAGGTTGCATCACCCATACTTGTATAAAAAAATAACAAAAAATTCATTGTGAATATTAAGAACAAAACACCTATCATCCACTTTTGATCACCACTGTATAAGAGAATATAAGCACATACGCATGTATGTACATAGCTACAATCTGACTGAACTGAAAATGAATTTGTTCTACAAGTCCATAAGTGATCTTCCTTCAGCACCTTTTTTGCAGCTTAATTGATAGTTACAGTGTTTATTTGCTCAATAATTTTCATAGCACCATTCATAACACTAATCTTCAAAATATTTTCTTATCTAAAATCCATAGTTCCATGGCGGACATTGTGAGCGCATTCTTTGGAGGAATTGGGTTGCCAGTACCTATGTAGAATTCGCACTATCTTGCTTAGCATTCGTTGTAATGGGTATTCTCTATGAAACATTGAAATTTTTGCGTCAACAACTGAACAAGCGGGCTGTCCGAAAAGAAGCCGAAGGCGCAACTTTGGACTTGCAGTTAAATCACAGCGCTGATAATTCATCAGGGCCGATGAAGTATAGTTCTAGAATAGCTTTAGCCGAAATACGAGTAACATCGAAAACGTATTGGCGATTTCTTGTAACATCGACGCACATCATAACATCGCTTTTATTTCTTATACAAGTCGCTCTCTCTTATGTGTTAATGTTAGTTTTCATGAATTATAACTATTGGTTATGTTTGTCAGTCGTTTTAGGATTAGGTTTGGGATATTTCTTTTTTGGTTGGAGCCAACATGATGCTTATGATAATGATTGTTGTCATTAGAAAATATGTATTTCAAAATAATCTGTAACAAAATATACTCTACACAACAATAAATAACTGCAAATTACTAACAATAATTTTTAGAAAAATGTATGTATGTAGGTGAATTGGCGATTTTTTACGTTTTATGTCCATATGTATTAGGCATGTACTCGTATTTAAATTTACAAATATTTAGTATAAAAAAGTGTCTCTACTCTAAATTTTACATTAAAAAAGTAATAATAAATAATTTTGATCTTCAACTAAACAAGTAATTTTATTTTTCAATACGATTAAGTGCCTACATATATGTTATACATACATACAAATATACATGAAGCTCATAATTGCACTGCAAATACTGTTGTCGATAACTTTACATAAGTACATACATATGTACATAAGCTTTCAGATATGTATGGTATATATATTTGTACGTTTATTTATAATCTGCCATAGAAATTGCGACAATCTTACAAAGTGATTAATTCTCTGCGACTTACGAGGCTCCATCTCATGGCTTTAAGCCAGCAGTGTCATTGTATTCACTGTACATAAAATGACTATTGCAAAAGGCATAATGATTGTAAAAGCAAAATGAAGCAATCATTTAAAGAAATTATTCATTGCAGGGATGCCCATTCCATATCTCATTTGAGTTCACCTGCTGAGTATAAATTTATATGTATGTATATCCAGCCATGCTCTAAAAATCGTACATGTAGTATATACGCTGGCCGGGAAACAAATAGGAACACGACATTTTGAAAAGCTTTATTATTTTTTATAAACATATAGCTCACTATTTAACAAAAAGCATGTATGCCAAAATTTCAAACTTTGTGCAAGATTCATAAAAGTGTTCGACGAATTTCAACAAATGTTCATAAAAATTTCAAACTTTATATTGAGAATTAAAAGAAAAATCCTCCATATAAAAAAAAATTTGAGCATATCTTGTATGGAAGAAAATGTGTAGCACCGTGAGTAAAAAAAAAATCCCAAAATTAACGGTAAGGCCTGCCTACCTCTTTAAAACTTGCACTTTATTGTACTAAAATTTAATGGGATACAAAAGTGCGTGCCAACATTTTTTCTTAAAATTGTGATTAAAAAGTTTGAAATGTTGATGAAACTTTGTGGAATTTTCAAAATTTTTGTTCGAAATTCAATCCTCATTTAAAAATTAGGTGTACCGTTAATTCCTTCATAATCCAATTATCCGATCTAAACAAAGTTAGTGGGTGACCACCCTTAAGGTACCACCTTTCCGACGAAAAAGGGATTAACATCAGGATTGTACACTTACACAAATTTTAAAATTTTTACACTTAGGGCCAAATTCACAGTGCGATTCTGAGTTAACTACGAACTGTGAATTTGGCCCTTACACTGTAAGTAACTGTAAATATTGTAAACAATTATAATATATTGTAAGTACAGTTACAGTAAGTAATTACAATTATTTACAACAATTTACAAGTAAAGAATTAGTGTAAATAATGTAAATATTTTATAGGCACCACCCTGGCTGAAACACGTGGGTTTTCGCACCGAGACAATATTTACCAATATTTACATTGTTTACAATTCTTTACAAATGAACATTATTTACACCAAAAATATCACCCTGTAAATAATTACATTATTTACAAGTAAAAAATTGTAAATACGATCCTTCATAAAAAACGTATTTTTTGAAGTTAATTCTTGCATGGGTACAAACCAGCATACTCCAATTTTTTTTTTTAATATTAACATATGCACTGCAGGTCAATAGATAGCACATTCCTTTGTTGACATGTTTTTTTTTTTTTAATTTTCATCAAATTTTAAAAACGGATTCACACGTAGAATATACTACATTTTTATAAAAAAATAATGAATATTAAACAAAAAAAGGAAAAGTGTTTATATTGAGGATTAAAAGGGTGTACTATTCAAATGACTAGGAGTGTATGTATACACTACGTGTCAACAACAACACTGCATACTCAAAACCTTTCTAAGAAATCGGAATAAAAAGCTCGAAAATTGTATCAAAGTAAACTAAATTTTTATAAAAAATAACTAAAATTAAATAATATAAAGATAAAATGATAAAAATTGTCTTATAATTATGACACGGGGTGTATATCCATGCAAAGATAATTGTGTTTTTATGTTTTAATTTTGTAACATCGTTTTCACCTTATCTTATAGATATGCGAAAATCAGCGTTGCCTATTTCAAAGTTAAAGTTATCTTCAGCAAGTTAGGCATGGGTAACACTGCGATGCGCGGCGCCATTGCGTTAACACCGTAGTCGGAGTTGCCGCGCCGACACCAATATAAGAAAAGCGATAGCGCCATTAACACCAAGAAATACATGAGACTCACCCACACACACACCCCTATTGCGAGTGTCGACTAGTAGTAGATAAACAACTATTATTCGATTATCGATTATCCATCGTATTTGCAATGTCGTTTTCTCGTTCAATAAGTGAGTGTAAATAAGTTTAAGTCGAACATCCTTCTACAAACAAATAGTTGTTGAAGGATGAGCGACTAAAAACTGTTTGCAGTCGCTTATTGAACGGGACATCGACATTCACAATACCATGGAAAAGCAATAATCGAATAATAGTCGTTTATCTACTACTAGTCGACATCCGCAATAGGGGTGACAATTCGCTATAATTCTTTGACAAATGACATGTACTTTGTTTTTGCCTTTGAGTGGTGAGAACGCCAGAAATTGATGTATCTTGGCAATTAAAATCTTTTACTCAAGAATGATGACAATATCGTGGCATTTACTACAATGCTAGCTATTAAATTCGGTGGGCGGTACAAGCGTTGTTCAGCACCGAAAATTAAAGAAATAATAGATTCCACTGTATTGTGTATGACATTTAGGGGATTCTCTTAAGCTCGTAAAGTCTTAAACCGCGTAAAAATCGTAAGTTTACGAGGATTTTATGGGAACGCCCCCTTTGTGAAAGTAGACTATGCTAAATTTTTATAAAAGATTCTCACTCTTTTGTCTTCAATTATTGAATTAAAACTTTAAGCATAGATACCAATGAATGTACGCATATTATATATGTATATATATATATATTTACTAACTAGTTCTGTAACTTTTTGTTTTCAGTTTCATGGTGGACATTGTGAACGAATTTTATGGCGTAATTGGGTCGCCAGTACTGTTGTGGAGTTTGCCTTCTCTTGTGTTGCTTGGTTTTTTATCGCTTTCATTTATGAAGCATTGAAGTGTACACGCCAGCAATTACACAAACGCTCAGTGCAAAAGGCAGCAGAACGTATGGCCGAAGAGGAAGCGAAGCGGGCTACCCATCCAGCCGGTTGTCCACATGCACCAGCTCCTTTGCCAGAAATCAGAAGCAAAACTTACAGAGACCGTCTTTTTTCAATAGATCACATAATACAAACGCTTTTAAATGTAATACAGGTCATCATATCCTATCTTCTGATGTTGGTCTTCATGAATTTTAATTATTGGCTGAGCCTGTCTGTAATACTGGGTTTAGGTTTTGGCTACTTCTGTTTCGGTTGGATTAGAGAGCAAAATACTAGTACTGAATGCTGCACTTAAGACTGGAGGGTATAACTACTATGTACGAAAACTAACTGAGCTCGAGTGGTTGTTACATTTTAAACAAATATTGTTATGTCGAACTTTTAATGTATTTTATCTAATTTTATATCTGTTCGGAAAGATATAAGTTTTGTGGTAAATTTATATTAGAAAAATAAATTTGTTGTATAGTTTATTATATATGTATATACTGTTTGTATGTAATCCAAAAATGCATGTGAAAAAGTAATGTCGGAAATTTTTATGCCCTCACCTCCTAGGATTATTCTGTACCGAAAAAGATATAACCCAATTTTTTTTTATTTTGAAATCGAAAAATATTTAGAGGTCGCTCATAGCGCTCAAAATTATGTATTTTATATGGGGAAAAAACACTTTTCGTAGAAATGGTATAGCATTCTTGACAATCAATATTTTTCGACCGGAAAAACTTCGTTTCTCTTTATTAGGCTCCCAATAATTGGGAATTCACAATTGGATGTTGTTATTGTAAGTCTCCTGAAGAGAGTCAGAGTTCTCCGATCGAAAAATATTGATATTCAAGAATTCTATACCATTTCTACGAAAATTTGTTTTTCCCATATAAAATACATCGTAAACTTTGAGGGCTCTGAGCGACCCGTAAATATGTTTTGATTTCAAAATAAAAAATAGTGGCATATTTTTTCAATATAGAATAATCCTAGGGGATGAGAGCATTAAAATTCCAACTTTTTTTTATTTTGGACCACCCTAATGTGTACACATGCTGGTACATTTCAACTATAAACTTGTATATTGCACATTATAATTAAAGCAACAGACGTTATTATCTAAAAAAAAATGTATATTTTTTTAATGTTATAAATTTCGATGTTATATACTAGTTTTAGAAAATACAAGACTGTAATGAATTACAAAAATATAAACTCAAAATATCGGAGTGCCAAAAAAGCAATGCGTTTAATCTCAAAAATCTGTAATAGAGATGTACGCCGTTAAGTTTGAAACACATTGGAAGCGACGGGCTACGGACCACAGCTGTCATATTATTTTAACATGTACTCTTATGTGAATAACTATTTTGGCGACGACACGGCAACACCGCGACTAGCCAAAAATGTAGCTGTGGCCAGATTAAATCTAGTTTTATTTTACCAGCGACAGATAAGATTCTTCCTCTTCTTTAATGTCAAACTAAAACAAATGCCACGTTCAAAAAAGATTTTGTAGATAAAACCTTATTTTCATCTCGCGTGGTGATGGTGTTTTCGATGCGTTTAGAGCTTTGATGCGTTTGTCATTTCACGAAATCATTTCACAAAACGTAGTTAAAAATGCCTGCATAATTATCATTTCATGTATTCAATTCGTATATGTAAGGCCAATTTCAGACACTAACATTTTTATTATTTAAATGCCATTTAACTTTAAAAGTTTATTTAAATATGCCAGTCAAGTGGCAACACTGTTTCTTGTTCCATGAAATTGTTGTTGCATTTGTTCGTTTGTTTACATTTTGTGCTGAACAGCTGATTGTTGTTTGGTACAAACACAGGGTTGCATATCTAATATTTAAATATACTATTAAGCGCAGTTTATGCATACATATATATGTATGATCTGAAAATGAATTCTTGAAATTATTTAACAATATACAAAAACGTGGTTTTGGTCGAAAATGGATGCACACTTATCTTAGAAAATGCATTGTCTTCAGTTTTGTATAAAGAACAAGATTCCACAGCGAAATTTTATTTAAATTAAAGTTTAAAATAGATATACGACAACAAGGAAGGAAGAATAAGCGAATTTGTATACCCGGCGCTGCTATCAAATATCGTAGTTTCAACGTGCTCTAAACTACCTTTGCATGATAAGTAGAGGTGTTTTTTTCTCGATTTCAAACGGCTTCGATAATATGTTGAGTTAGACTTAATTGAACCAAGTTTGATAGAAATCGATAAAGTGGTTACCGAGCTACAGCATTGTTGCCATAAAGTGGGCGGTGTCTTCACGAATTCCTAAAGTCTATAGCAGTCTTATTTATTGTTAAAATATTGTTATAACTATTAACTAGGAGTTAATTAGCGTCCTCAGTAGTTCTGCAATTTATCGTTATACGGGAAGCGGGTATAATTTTAATCCGATTTGAATAATTTTCAACGAATTGCATTTCCGTACCAAGGTTATTAAGTCCACCGAGTTTCGTAGAAATTGATAAATCGGCCATAGGGAGGCCACGCCCATTATCCAAAAATGTATAATAATCCAATTTTACTGCTAATTTGTTATTGCAATCATCGATTTTAGGTGAACTAGCTTCAGTAGTTACTGATTTATCACAATTTTTGTGTTGCTGTAAATTACCGTTATATGATAGGAGGGCATGGTTATTGCTCGTTTTCAAAGATTTTCAACAGATTTCTTAGGTAGACCCTAGGCAAAGCCCGTACCGAGTTTGCTAAGGATTGGTGAAGCGGCTACTAAGATACAACATTTCATCAAAAGTGGGCGGGGTCGAGCCCATTTTGCCAAGAATTTCACATTAGTATTACATAGTTTTTACCAAAATTCTACCTCACATGCTAATTTTCAACAATTTCGATACAATTTCAGTAAGAAATATCGTTGCTACTGCATTTTTCGAAAATGTCGTTATATGAGAAGTGGGCGTATTACAGTACGATTTCGCCCACTTTCAATATCATCCTACCTTGCATAAAGGGCAACCTACATACCAAATTTCGTTGAGAAATCTCAATTTTTGCTCGAATTATCGTGTACACGGACGAACGGACGGACAGACAGACATTGTTTAATCGACTTCTCTATTCATTCTGAGCATTTATGTATGTATACATTTGTCTATATCTATCTCGATCCGTTTTGGCTGTTACAAACAACCGTTATGTGCACAAAGTTATAGCACAAGTGCGCTCAGGTACATATAAAATGAAAAAAACCCTTGTGCTCATATACCCGTAGTTGCATATTAAACGTATACGCCCCGTAGCACCATACGCTTCCCGTACTGCAGGATTTAATCAGAATTTCGTCCGAGGTCGTTCTGTGCACATACACAAGTCTAGAATATCAACAATTTAGCGTTGCAAAAACCAAAATTTGGCTCGATAGAACTTTTTGTGCTGATTTCAACCCTACCAAAATATAGGTACATATGCACATATATGTATGTGTATTCATACATACATATGTAAAAACTAATTAAGCTCCAACTCCAATTTAAGTGTCGAACAAAACGTTACATCTATTCATAGTCGCATTTATGGCAAATGCAAACTACTTTTAACTTAGCTTTACGATGCAACTAAGTTGGCTGTTTTAAATATGTATGTATGTAAAAAAATTTCAGATAATAAACAACAGATTCACATTACGGGCATACATTTATTTATTTATTACCCCGATTTTATCAACTCGCTTTCCTTTTATTAGTTATTTGATTGTTTTGCTCTATTTATTATTTTTAAAACTTTTTGAAAGCTGACTATTTTTAGTCTTCGAATTTATATATCTATAGTACAGATCTCATTATAAATACATACATATGTATATTTCATATGTAATTTTCATAGAGAATATTCACTTTGTCCCCTGGCACCGTAGTAGTTTGAAAATTTCTTGGTGAAGTGTTGTCAGAAATTATTTTCAAATACTAATACTTATTGTCTTCGTAACAATAATAATAATAAGATTCACAAAAAAAGGCTAGCCTTGTCTCAGAAAAAATTAAAATTTGAAAATTTGTTGAGTAGCATATCGATTTGCAACAACCATTCCTGAGGAAAGCCTNTAAGATTCACAAAAAAAGGCTAGCCTTGTCTCAGAAAAAATTAAAATTTGAAAATTTGTTGAGTAGCATATCGATTTGCAACAACCATTCCTGAGGAAAGCCTCTGATTTATAAACATGCTTTTACAACGGTTAAGACAATTGCTTTACAAAGTTTATCCATCAGTTCAATCGCTTATCCTTGATATCCCTTTAGATATTTAAGCAAAATTTTGACAGCGTCTAAGTAGTTTAAAGAACTACCGAAGCTATGTTATTGGTAAAATTCTGTCCATACCAGTAAACAACGGTAATTTTGAAAGGGTGATGGGGAGAGAAGAATTGGGTTTCGCACTTTGTGAAATGAAGAAGTGGAATAAACCTTCAATTTATACCCACTATTTTATTGGATTTTGATAATATAGTAGATTACGCTCCCCAACCGAAAAGATCTCTGGCTTTTATATTATTCCAATTAGGCAAGTCTGGTCGTGAACGAGTGGTCGATCTTTTTTAATGTTTAGGTTTGCATTATCAATACTGGACGCTCAATTCGATATTTTTGCATGGTCTTCCAAATCAGTCAATGAATTTTAGAAAAATAATTGATAAATTGAAACCAAAGCAAAGTCTGAGAGTCACATTAAAGTCTATGATTCAAATGTAAACATCGACTAAGGTCTATTCTACAGCTAGTAGAGCTAAAGGCTTGTGGAGAAATAAAAAATAAAAAGTTACTTTACAAAAGTCACAGATTTAGATTTTAAAAGTTATTTATTGTAATGCAAGGTAAGTAACGTTTTTAAATAGTAAATCCAAAATTGTTCACCAAATATATAAAAATAGTTGCAGACTGAAATTATAATTGGGAGTTACTATTTATATGTATGTACAATTTATTGGCTTTTTAAGCTTTTTAGGTGCCTATTTTTAAATGGCATACGTTTATTACAGAATTTTCAGTATGTATGCAGTTAATAGTCAAGTAATGTTTATTTATAATTATATTTATATTTAACATTTTACATTTAAAAATAAAATATCAATAAAAATAAAAATTAAATTTGCAATTAAATCTATATCCATATGAGTATATTTGTAGACTACATATAACGTAATGCTATATACAGATGGTATGTACATAAATCATTTGTGTCTGTTGTCTTAGACGCAAATTGTTGGGCGGCCCAACAGTTGCCAGCAGTTTCGTAGCAGTTGAGCTAAACAGCTACGTCTTATGAATGCGCCCATTATGTATTTATATAGACTATACATTTATTTGTTTATATATATGTACATAAGTACATGTGTGTATGTTGGTATATATTTCATTCTGAACGTGGTAAATCAGTTTGGATTTGGAAACTTTTCTAAACTTTAAAAGCTTAAATAAATGTTTAAAGAACTTGAAACGTCAACCAACTATTTTTTAGCACTAGCTGAACGAACTAGATCTTATCTGTCAAATTTAGAACTAATTCGGAACTATCGAAAAAGGCTTGCAGCGGGGCCTTATTTACTTTACATAGATATGTATTCGGCGGGGATTTTTTCANTCTGTCAAATTTAGAACTAATTCGGAACTATCGAAAAAGGCTTGCAGCGGGGCCTTATTTACTTTACATAGATATGTATTCGGCGGGGTTTTTTCATTTAAATGCACTTTCATTCAAAACAAAAGTTTGTGTTAACATTTTAACAACTTGGGACCGTCTGTAATCAAACCAATAACAGCGAACACCTCTGCAAAGTCAGAAAAAAAAAGATTTATCGCCAACCAGTACTGGGTCTAAATTAACTAGAAGCGCACCAGTTCAGAATTAGAGATTTTCTCACAGGGTACGTACATCTATGTATGTGTGTTTGTAAATAGTGGGAACAGAAGAATTGTAATTTATGACCGCTGAAAACAACATATTTTTAGGCGCATAAATTCGATTTTTAGGCAATCCCAGAGAGAGTTTTTCTAGTCGCTAGTTTTAACTATTCTAATTGTTTTGCGAAACAAGAAGTAGCTGGCAATAAAATAAATACTTATTTAAACAAATTTCATATTTTTTTTCTTTAATAAATTGGCAATAATATTTTGAATGACAAATCAACAATATACTTGCATACGTACAATTATTACACATATATATTCAGATATTCTAAAATTGCATAGCATTGAATCTGCATATAAATATAGGCGCATATATACACACACATTACCAATTTTACTTATGAACTAAAGTGAAATTCACTAATGAGTTTTTCTTTACTCTTCTTCTAATAAGTATGTATGTATCTACCAACAACGACTACTTTAGCTTTGTTTCAGCTGCATCTTTTACGATATCCCCGTTCTCCCTCCTAAACTAATTCTCCTCCTAATGCAAATCTCATAATCCAGTCGCCCCAGCCGCCATCATGCCACCATGATGATGATGATGATGCATGCCGGTATTTTGGAAATACATATAGTAATTGTAGGGCTGTTGTGACGCCGCCGCTGCTGCCACTGCAACCTGTGTCGCTGTCGCCGCATTATTCGCCATGCCATCGCAATCATCGTTGCCTAGCAATTGTTGAGCTCCCGCGCCCATCATGCCGCCCATAGGTGATGGTGTCATTGGCAGTGCGGCCGGTAGTGTGCCCATTGTGTTGCCCACCTGACAGCTGGCGCGTAACGCCGCCGCCTGATGGTGCGCCAAAATGTCGCTAACCGAGTGCGATGAGGGCCAACAATGTGCCGCAGCTGCCGCGGCCGCTGCTGTACGCAACTGATGTGTGGTTTGTGTGGATTGCGGCGGTGAGGGACTGCCACAAGATACGGCCGTTTTCATGCTATACGCAGTATATGGCTGGTAAATGGAATTGTAGAGGTGTGGATGTGCGTGTACAGCAGCCGCAGCGGCGGCATGTTGATGATGCGCTGCTGTAGCTACCGCTGAGACGCTAGCATTATGTGCTGACGTATGATGATGTCCATGTGAATGTGTATGAGTGTGCGTATGGTGATGGGGTGAAGAAGTTGTGCTGTTTGCTGCCACCACGGCTACGGCGCTATGATGGTGATGTCCAATGGAGCCGAGTTTGTTACGCAATATTCGCGAAATCGAACTGACGCTGGGCACATTAGTCTTATCACAGATTCCTTCGGTAAGTAGACGGTCGCGGATCTCCCAAGCGAAAATACCGGGATCTCGCTGCTTGAGTTCGCGTATATAGTTCACCACTTTTGGGGTGGTGACGCGCGGCTTTGATCCGCCTATAGCGCCGGGTAGGATGGAGCCCGTTTCATGATAGCGTGCCAATATTTTCGAGACGCATCCGTGGCTAACTCGCAATTGACGGGAAATGTCGCAGGGTCGAATGCCGAGGCGCGCCAACTCAACAATACGCATGCGCGTCGCATTCGGTAGTGGGCGACCGTTCACAAACACTCCGCCAAGCTGATTCACTTCGCCATACTGTGGGCACTGATTTTCTGCAAATGGAAAAGTGAAACAAA